AAAAAAAAAAAAAAAAAAAAAAAAAAAAACCAAACTGACCTACAAAGCAGTGGTAGACTCTCAGTTATTTACATCTGGGGAAATGGTTTTATTTGTAGCACTATGTTGTCATTGAATGGATCCATTACTTTTTGATGTGATAGGGGTACTCTTAGCTGGGGTAGTCGCTCATCATCCTCTGCATCAAATGCATGGGGTTCCTCAGCACTGTCTCCTAGTCCTGATGGTGGTACTGGTTCACCAAGTCATCCCAATGGTCGACCTTCATCTGGCGGAAGCAACACTCGACCATCGACTGCCGGTAGCGACAAAATACACGAACCTTCTGCCAATTCATGGGCTCCTAATTCTAGGCCATCATCAGCTTCTGGGTCGTTGACATCAAATCAAACATCACTGACTTCATTGCGTCCTCACAGTGCAGAAACTAGACCTGGCAGCTCGCAGCTATCGCGATTTGCTGAACCCTCATCTTGTAATTCAGTGGCATGGAGTCCAACTGGTGCTGTGGAGAAATTGGTATGGTGTCAGAGGCAAGCAGTTCAATGCTAGGTCTTCACGTTTTGGGTGTTTACTTTCAGATAAATATAGTGCTAGTTTTTGTTAAAAATTATTTGGCACTGGTTACTAGTTCACATTTGAAATGATGTGATTAGGAAAATAAGTTGTTCAACTCTTTTGTTATTGCAGCTTGTTCTGTTGAGAATGCGGCACTATCTCTTGATGGGCAGGCATGTTTAAATTTATTTATCTGTGATACATGCAGGTTGTCCCATCCCCCAAGAATGATGGGTTCTCCTTGAGTTCTGGAGATTTTCCAACACTTGGTTCAGGGAGAGACAATTCTGGAAAGAATGTGGAGTCTCAAGGTGATTGTGCTTTTAAACATTCCCTTTTCAGTTGCTTTTCTCCTGATATTTCTGTACCGTGCTTGTGGATTGATTTTGGTGCCTCTACAGTTGAACTAGTTCTTGGTATTGGCCTACTAGTTTTATGCTTTTTTAGGTTATGAGCAGTCGTCAATTTTTGCATTTCTCAGTTTCATTTCTTGGTAACTCAGTGTTCAATAGTTCAAGATCATACATCACTTGATCTTCCATGAAGATTGAGAGGATCGTGTTTTGTTACCGGACTGAACTGAGAATTATATACTAATGTGTTGTGTTAATTCTGTCGTTGTAACAGCTAGAAAGTTACCGGAAGAATTGCACTTGCGTCGTACTAATTCTTGTTTCACTTGAAAGAATTTCTGTTTGCATATTTAGACTTGTTTTTTATTCCGTTGCTACATGGATATCAATAGAGCTCTTGTGTATAGGCATGCTAGCTCTATCGAGCACTAATAGACATGGCTTCCCTTGTTTTTGGAGGCACACTTGTATATAGGCATACTAGCTCTATCCAGCACTAGTAGACATGGCTTGCTTTGGTGTTAGAGGCACACTATCTCATTGAAACTCATTCTAAGAAGCTATTCTTGGCCGATCATTTCTTCTGTAAGCCAAGAAGTACATGGTTATAGGCATACTAGCTCTTTCCAGCACTAGTAGACACGGCTTGCTTTGGTGGTAGAGGCACACTATCTCATTGAAACTCATTCTAAGATGCTATTCTTGGCCGATCATTTCTTCTATAAACCAAGAAGTACATGGTAGTAGGCCTGTCAGGACGGGATTTCGGTCCAATCCAAATCCGAATTCGTTTAGTAAGATATGGACCACAATTCTAATCCACTAATGTGAATCTGATCCGAATCCTTTTAGACCATTGAATCGGATGTGGATATATTCTAATCCAATCCATTATCAATCCAACCAAAAAATATATGCAATGTAAAAGATCTGACTAGGCATTCAAATGAGTGCAGAAGTAAAAAACAAATGTCATGTATCACTTTCTCGAAAAATTTCCTGTCTTTTCTTGTCTCTTTTTTCCTTCTTTTCCTTTCTTCTCTTTAATTTTGCCGTTCTGTTGTTATTTGCTATCAGAAGGCTCTGATCCTCTCCAAGTATCCAAACTTTCTCATCTCTCTCTCTCTCTCTCCATAGCCTTTTCACCGATTCCCTCATCCCAGGATTTCTTTGTGTGTGGACAGATCTAAATTTCTAACCTCTCTGTGGCCTTGTTACCACCTCACTATAAAACGTGGACTCTTCGATGTCTGTATGGGTGATCATCTTGGCCACAAGAAGCAAGTTCACCTACAATCCACAGATCTATGGGCTCTAATGATCCTCCAGGTCGAAAATAACGGATCATTTGATTTTGTGTTTTTATTTTTGTTTCTGAAAATCCTGGGTTATTTGATGNGGGTGATCATCTTGGCCACAAGAAGCAAGTTCACCTACAATCCACAGATCTATGGGCTCTAATGATCCTCCAGGTCGAAAATAATGGATCATTTGATTTTGTGTTTTTATTTTTGTTTCTGAAAATCCTGGGTTATTTGATGAAATTGTGCCTATAATTAGCTGAGATTTTGATTGATTTTTGAGATTGATGTGAAATTGGCTCTTAATTGAGCCATTATTCTAGTTAGATTGGACCGGATATCCAATTCTTAATGGATTATAATATGGAATATAAAAATCAAATCCCCCGGATATGCGGATCGGATTTGGAACTGGATTTTGTAATCTGATTTGGATTAGGTGGAGATGTTTTAAGGGAACAAATGGCCTAGGTTGTGGATGTACTAAGTTGCTTTTTTAATGGTGTTGTCAACTATCCATAACAGATCATGGCTCTCACCGTCGTCCTAGCTCATCTTCAGGCAGAGTTGCACCTGTAAAAGATAGGACTGCAATTTCTCAAGCTGGTTTGTAAACATGCACTCAATCCTTTTCAAAACTTTTTAGCCATATCCCGAACCATTGTATTGATACTTAACATAATGTGTTAATGATAAAACATTTTGAAAAGTTCATGCGTGGTGTTGTTTACTTTCAGGTGATGTGTTTTTTGACACAGATATGAAAAATGAAGCTGCAAATCCATGGAAAAGAGATGGTTCTCAACACATTGAAGATGGGATGCAGCCTACCATGGAAAAATGGCCCGGTGACTCCCAACAATACCATAATGTCGCTCCTCAGCATTTTGATGCTTGGCATGGTTCTCCAATAAATTCTCCAGCTGGTGTTTGGTATAGAGGACCTCCAGGAGGTTCACCATATGGACCACCTGTTTCTCCTGGTGGCTTCCCAATTGAACCATTTCCTTATTATGGTCCTCAGATTCCACATCATGTTTTAGCAAGTTCACAGCCAGTTCCTCCACCTGGTGCAGGACCGAGGGGACACCATCCTAATAATGGAGATCTATACAGGCCTCAGATGCCTGATGTTTACATCCGCCCAGGTATGCCAATTAGGCCTGGTTTCTACCCTGGTCCTGTAGCCTATGAAGGCTATTATGGCCCTCCAATGGGCTACTCCAGTTCCAACGAACGAAATATTCCATTTATGGGAGTGGCAGCTGGTCCCGGTGTTTATAGTAGGTACCCAGCCCAAAATGCTCATGATCCTAGCAATACCCATGCCAGAGTTGGTGGCCATGGTTCAACTCCCAAAATATTGGCATCAGAGCAAGTGGAACCTGGCCATTCTGATGATACACAAGGACCGCACAAAGTTATTCTAACACAATACCGTGAATGGGATGGAAAGGAGGAAGAAGGGAACTGGAAACCCACTGTACCAGCTAATGCCCCTAGTTTTGATAAGGGCGACCAATCAAGAACATTATCACGAAAAAATGAGTTGGGGGCAGACCACAGAAGGAACGAAGATATGTGTACAAAAAGAACGATGACAGCGGGTGAGAATTTTTCTCAAACTTTTGACAGTCAAGGAAGTTGTTCTTCGGTTTCCGATAAAGTGAAAATGCCTGAAAGTAAGGGCAATGCTAGGTCAGTTGATGACAAATGGATAAAGAAATCAGAAATTTCAGCATCTTCTTCTGCAGAAGTGCTGCAAGTATTCCCAGCTTCCGCAAAAGATTCATCTCTCATACAGAAAATTGAATGCTTAAATGCAAAAGCCCGGGCTTCTGATGGGCGACATGATGTTGCTTCCATTTCTAATTCGGAAGAGCAGAACAACAGATTACTCAATGTTACTGCCAAGGTCAGCAGTTCCACATATGCTGCTGGTATTGCCACTTATGAAAGAGCTCATGCCACAGGAAATCATATCCCTTCCTCCCACAGCGCAGGTGTTTCAAGGTTTGTGTTTAGTGTGCTGTACTTGTTTTATACTAATTGATATAATACGTTGGCAAAGACTCATCTGCAAATTGGCAGGAAAGCTCATCATGGTGTGCAAGGTAGAATTGACCATCATGGTAAAGGAAGGCTCATCACTCAGGATGCTGATGGAGGGAGAAATAAATCTCTAGCTGCTGAGTCTTCTAGCACAGTTTTGGCTCCAAGCTCTGGACCTACTTCTGATGTTCATGCACAGGACCACCACAGCACTGTGGAGGTTGTTGACAAGTCTCAGATAAAGCTTCCGGTGAAGGATGAGGGAGAATCTTTGACACCAGTGTTTGGTGCACGTGATAGCCAGGTACAGGCATAGTTGTCAAATCGCAATTCGTATCGTGAATTGGAATCCTAAATTTTCGAATCGTGAATCGTAAGATTTTGACACAAAATTTGAACAAAAATAAAAAATAATACTACATATTTAAAATAGACAAGATATCGAATATTGCACATTATTGCATTCTAAAAATAATCAATTGACAGAATCACGTTGTCTAAATAGAAAAACGCTAATCTTTTGTTTAATCATTTTCATATTCAACAATTTAAAAAAAAAAATTCATTAAAGAACTATGACTATTCAAGAACTAAAATAGTGACACCCAATATAGATTAGGTTACAAACATGAATGGAAAAAAAACAAATAAGAAAATTGATTGGGAGAAAACATGCTGGTTAACATTTTGAAACAAAAAAATAGAACCTAACAAACTACCCATGAAAGAATTGAGATCAAAAATTGACCGATGATGTGAGAGCGGTAGCTGTGACCTTTAACATTAGCCAATGCAAGATGAGCTTTAGACAACGTCCGAGAGAGAATGAGCAAAAATGTTGAGTTTTTATTAGGGCATGGGTTCCTCTACAAACAAAACGAAATCGTTGTACTATTTAGCGGACAAAACAACGTTGTTTTGTCAAAAATTTAGGCTTTAAAAAAAAAGTGATTGAATCATGCGATTTATGAGATACGAATCGAATCGTACGATTCAGATACAATTCATGAGATACGAATCGAATCGTACGATTCAGGTGTGATTCAACTCTAAAATGATTCTCATATAAAATACGAATCGTTTTGTACTTGTATCGAACAAAATCGTACAAATTAAATCGCGAATCATATGATTTTGATAACTATGGGTACACGCTTTATATCCATACTTGTTAGTGCCTGTTTATGACTTCATGGTTTGTCTTTTTNTATTAGCCAATGCAAGACGAGCTTTAGACAACGTCCGAGAGAGAATGAGCAAAGATGTTGAGTTTTTATTAGGGCATGGGTTCCTCTACAAACAAAACGAAATCGTTTTACTATTTAGCGGACAAAACAACGTTGTTTTGTCAAAAATTTAGGCTTTAAAAAAAAAGTGATTGAATTGTGCGATTTATGAGATACGAATCGAATCGTACGATTCAGATGCAATTCATGAGATACGAATCGAATCGTACGATTCAGGTGTGATTCAACTCTAAAATGATTCTCATATAAAATATGAATCGTTTTGTACTTGTATCGAACAAAATCGTACAAATTAAATCGCGAATCATATGATTTTGATAACTATGGGTACACGCTTTATATCCATACTTGTTAGTGCCTGTTTATGACTTCATGGTTTGTCTTTTTTTTTCCTTCTGCCATTTTCTTTATTGGTTGCATCAGGGTGCTAAGATGAGTATGTTAGCCAAGCGGGTGCAACTAGAGAGGGAAGAGGAAGAACGGAGGAGAGAGCAGAATGCAAAGGCTCAAGCAAAACTGGAGGAGTTGAATCGGCGAATGNACTATTCAAGAACTAAAATAGTGACACCCAATATAGATTAGGTTACAAACATGAATGGAAAAAAAACAAATAAGAAAATTGATTGGGAGAAAACATGCTGGTTAACATTTTGAAACAAAAAAATAGAACCTAACAAACTACCCATGAAAGAATTGAGATCAAAAATTGACCGATGATGTGAGAGCGGTAGCTGTGACCTTTAATATTAGCCAATGCAAGACGAGCTTTAGACAACGTCCGAGAGAGAATGAGCAAAAATGTTGAGTTTTTATTAGGGCATGGGTTCCTCTNCATTAGCCAATGCAAGATGAGCTTTAGACAACGTCCGAGAGAGAATGAGCAAAAATGTTGAGTTTTTATTAGGGCATGGGTTCCTCTACAAACAAAACGAAATCGTTGTACTATTTAGCGGACAAAACAACGTTGTTTTGTCAAAAATTTAGGCTTTAAAAAAAAAGTGATTGAATCATGCGATTTATGAGATACGAATCGAATCGTACGATTCAGATACAATTCATGAGATACGAATCGAATCGTACGATTCAGGTGTGATTCAACTCTAAAATGATTCTCATATAAAATACGAATCGTTTTGTACTTGTATCGAACAAAATCGTACAAATTAAATCGCGAATCGTATGATTTTGATAACTATGGGTACACGCTTTATATCCATACTTGTTAGTGCCTGTTTATGACTTCATGGTTTGTCTTTTTTTTTCCTTCTGCCATTTTCTTTATTGGTTGCATCAGGGTGCTAAGATGAGTATGTTAGCCAAGCGGGTGCAACTAGAGAGGGAAGAGGAAGAACGGAGGAGAGAGCAGAATGCAAAGGCTCAAGCAAAACTGGAGGAGTTGAATCGGCGAATGAAGGCAGGGGATGGTTCAACCCAGATGTTGGGAAAAGATTTTTCCATTGGTACCATCCAGTGGGAGCAGGAAGAACCCCACGCACTGGTTGAGCCAGTGATGGTCGCTACTAAATGTGAAGCACCTAGCTCAGACTTGGTTTCAAATTCTGATGTAGTCGCACTGAGTAGTGAGGGCAGTACCAGTGGGGTTGGAGCAACTACTGTCCTATCCAAAGATTCACTTCTACGGACACCAAAGAATGTCCAACAGGAAGCTGTTATTCCACATGACAAGTTTTTGCCCCTGAAACTGGAAGTTGATAATGCTGGCGCTGCTGACCCCGTAGCTTCTACTCAAGTGAATGACGGTGTTGTCTCCAGGCATAAGCACATGGACCATAAACAAAAGCATATTATGTCATCAGAGAGGAAATTTACTGAAAAATCAACTCCAACTAGGGCACCTGAGGCGTCTGAAAATCATCGTGATGTAGTTGCTGATTATGATGTTCCTGTTGAAGTTGGCTCAAGTGGTGAGTCAAGCTTGCCAAATAACTCAAATATCATGGCTGTATCCTCAGCACATCAGAAAAGGAAAAATAACAAGAGTGGCAAGAACAAGTCTAAGTCGGATGATTTGTCATTTGCTGCTGCTTTATCGTCACCAGTGTCAAATGAAACTAATCCTGCAAAAGCTCCCACTGCAAGTGGAAAGGGAAAGGTTTCTCTGGTAGAATTGGATCCTTGCTCAGATAAGTCAATTATTGATGCCAAATATGCAATCCAATCTACAGAGCGGCTCTCTTCCTTACCTAGTGAAGAAGCCCATGGCAGAGTGAATAACCAGTGGAAATCACAGCACTCCCACAGGATGCCAAGAACTCCACAAGTTAACAGAATGACGGATAAATTTCGTAGCTCTGATGCTGTTATTTGGGCTCCGGTGAGGTCACAAAGCAAAGCTGAGGTTTCAGATGAAGCTAGCCAGACAACTGTGGCTGATGTTCTTACTTCAACATCAAAGAGCGATAATTCTGTGCAGAATAATATGAAAAGCAAGAGGGCAGAGATTGAGAGGTATGTTCCCAAGCCGGTGGCAAAAGAGCTGGCTCAACAGGGAAGTATCCAGCAACCAGTGTTTGCTACATCCAGTCAAACCACATCTGATGAAATGACTGGGACTTTGCAACCTGGTCCTGAGAGCAATGAAAGTTCTCAACCTGCTAGCTGTGCAATGGGGTGTGTAGAATCTACTTTAGAGCCCTGGAACAGGGATAGTAAGGACTGTAAGCAGGCAAAAGCACATGGAGCATGGCGCCAACGAGGTTCGACAGAATCATCACTTGTGCAGGGTTTGCAACATGGATCATCTTCCCCTTCAAATGCAAGCAAGAATATTCATAATCCCTTGGAACAACAGCAATCCTTAAAGCCTGACGAGAAAATGGTAAAAGCTCAACCAAAGTGTTCTGACGAGTGGAACACTTCAGATGGCTGGAACACTACTCATACTTCTGATGTAACTGCACCTATTGTTGCTCCTGTTGTGAAAGATCAGGGAGCAACAGGCAAAGGAAAGCGGNGTGTTCTGACGAGTGGAACACTTCAGATGGCTGGAACACTACTCATACTTCTGATGTAACGGCACCTATTGTTGCTCCTGTTGTGAAAGATCAGGGAGCAACAGGCAAAGGAAAGCGGCAGCCATCCAAGGGCCATAGAAGCTCGGGTATTTTTCACGAGCTTGATCACAAAAATATCAATAGTGAGGAGATGGACAAAAGTTACATTCAATCTGCCTCTAATGAGATGATCCAATCAGACAAAGTTGTTCCTTTGACACAGAATCGAGGCAATCGTGGCGTTGGGGAGCGAACAACATCTCAGTGGCAACCGAAATCCCATACACATTCAGCCAATGCTCAACAGGGAAGCAGGTCCAGTGGAGGCCATCATGTTGATGCTGAAGTCAGTAGGGCTACGAAAAAGGATTCTTCCCTGGAGGGTAGGGTGCTTCCATCAAAAAATGACGAAGACAGTGTGGAAGTTATGGCCGAGGCCTTCCTTGATCAATCTGTGCTCGAAAGTAAGAATGTGGCAGAAGCATCAAATGTAAGGAATCAAGAGGCTATAAGAGAAAGGAAGGCAGCTTCATCTGAAGGACGCCCCTATTCCCCGAACCAAGGTCCTGTGAGTGCAGATGACCAAGCTCCTGGTAATATGAATACCCTACATGAGCAGCGCTTCTCTGCAGGATACCGCAGAAGTGGAAACCGAAACAATCGTTCTGGCAGAGGACATGAATCTCAGAGAGACTGGAGCAGTGCTGAGCAAGATAACAGGCAGCATAACATCCCAGCAAACCGGGAGAGACACAGGCACAATTCACATTATGAGTATCAGCCCATTGTGCAAAACAATACTAGCAAATCCAATAATTTTGAGGGACCAAGAGATGGTTCTCATAATGTGGGCTCAAGGTACAGGGAGAGGGGTCAGAGCCATTCGAGACATGGTGGGGGGAACTTCTATGGAAGACAAAGTGGCACTATCAGAGGAGATGCTGATTATGATTGATGGGGAAATAACAGTCTGGAACCGGGTGTTTGGTTTTACTGAGAACTATTCCGCCAAAGCATGTTTTGGCTTTTGATTAGCGAGTATCTCAGGTATTGCTTGCTTAGGTTGTAGTTTGTTTAAACTATTGAAGTTATTAAAGTTAGCTACTCTATTTGCTGATACAACACGTGCATTGAGCAGGATTAGGGGAAAAGTTTGGTATATGCTGCCAAGGCAAAATATTGTCTGTCTACACGAGGGATACAGATGTGGTGATTTCTTTTGTTAAGGTGTAGTTGATTTGAATATTGTAATTTGGTCCCGGTGTGTTGCCTGTGGAACCTTTTGGCATTTTCCCTTAAGGAACCTTGTATCGAGTATCATCATTTTCCGTCCCAAATATGGAATGCTAGAGGTTATGAATTACGGAAAAGTGTTTTTTTCTGGTTTGTCTGCCAATGAAATTTACCTTTTCATTGTTATCTTTGTCTACTACTTTCTAATTACCATCCTTGTTTAAGAAGGCGTGTAGGACTGTTGTCTTGGGCATTGGTCTTTAAATACCAATCTTCCTCTCAATTTTCTGTTCGTCTTTCTGAAATGATTTAGTCATATATTGGCAGCTTTGAGTATTATAAAATTGGAAATGTTGGTGAAGTATAGCACAAGTTCGTTGAGACACTCTGGATCCTTGGGGTCGAAAACCGAATATATCAGCATCTTTAAAAACTTTGGCTAGTGGTAGGGCAGGTTTGCTGGGAGTAGTTGTGGTCATCGCCACCACAGGGCAGCTGCTGTTGGTTTTCTCTACTATACTATCAGGTGATTGCTCATTTTTAGCTGAAGTTGAGACAGTAAGTTTGTGTTTAAGTAAAGCAGCCTGCAGCTTGGGATTGAACTCTTTCAGTGGTTCTCTAATACTGGTACAAGCCATCAATGCAGGCAGATCAGAATTGGGCAATAATTGAGGATATTTATGACTGTTGTGTCTATGTAAATAAATGACAAGAATTTATCATGCTCAAGGTAGCAAGGTGGACTGTACTTTCTAGTTGGGTGAGGGGTTTGGTAGACAGAGACTCTTCTTAGGAATTGGAGAAGCTGGTGTCCTTTCTCTGTCCCAACCACGAGAAATCTTTGTATGGGTTTAACACATCACTTAACAATGTCGGTGCTAATGTACATAGTCAATCAAAAGTACATTATCGAGAATTACTGTCACTTGTCATTATGTTAGATTTTTTTTTTTGAAAAAAATAGATTGTATGTTTGAAAAAACAGGTTTTCATTGGCTGTGCACCATATGATATTGCCAAATGCTGTGTATTAAGACAACCAAATCCATACAGTGCTAAGTGGTATTTCAATATTCATGATCGAAATAATGAATATTTTGTTACCAGAAGAGTAGGAGGAAAAGGTGGGGTTCCAAGCCGAATAACACATTAGGAGAAAATCTCCACTCAAATATATGATACTTATAATATGAATAAATAAAATAAATATTTTTCATGCTTATTACAATAACTATTATAGACTCAAAATCAAGTTTTTGACAAGTTGTTGCTTCTTGACCATTGGTAAATCGGTCTGGTTCTTATTTTAGCTTCTTTCTTGCGCCCTTGGTCAAGCCTTGAGTGAATCTTGTGCTCGGCCTATTGGTGATCTTTTCTCTTTCGTTAAGGAGACTTATCAACGATGGTGGTTGTGATTCGTAAAGCATATCGTTCCCTTTTATCTTGAACGACAAACAATTATAAATTAAAAGAAGTTGTACAAAGATGCTAAAGTCTCTCGAGCTGTACCCTAGTTGATCTCTCTCTAACAGGGTACATTTGCCACTAGTTGCATTTCTTTTTATATTGCTTAAATTAGTAACAGTAATCCTATTTTTAATTCTCATTGTGCACATGTTCGTTTTTGAGTCTGTAAGTGACAGTTTAAATATAAATTAAAAAATAAATAATAAAATATAAAATATGACAACGAACTAGATTAAATAGCTAATTTTATAATTTATATTTTAATCAAACTTATATTTTATCATTCATTTATATTTTAAATACTCACAATAAATATTTAAACTATTTATTTATATTTTAACCAGGCAAAAATATACATTGTATAGAATACCTAGTTATTTTCAAAAGGTTTTTTTCTTTAATAATAAAAAAAACAAAGACAACAAACTACCTTTTAACCCTCTAATAATTTCTGATTCCATTAAAAAAAATCTGATTTCTAATACTTTCATTTACTAGGTGTTCAAATTTTTGATTATCGGCATATTCTTACCCTACTCAACTTTGCTCGACTCTACTCATCGGCTACCGCAAAAAATTGTGTCGGTCAACAAAAGAATTTTTTGTATTCCACAAAAATCAGGTAAGAATATAAAATACCTATAAAAATTATGTATTCTTACTAGAATCTATCTGCATGTATATATATATATATTATATGTGTTAATATTTATGACTTTCTTGTTATGTTTGAATTATAATTATTTTTGTATTATCGAATTTATTTTGTTTTTCTTTAGTGTTATTAGTTTATTGTATTGGTTAATTGATACAGGTTATTTAATTGAATTGTTAAAATGATTCAAAAATTAATAATTAAAAAATATGTGTTCACCCAAATTTTTATCCGATTGTTTTGGACTGAATGCGAGTAAGAATAATTTACTTGGATAAAATGGGCCAATAATTTTCCTTTTCCAAAGTATAGGATAAAAAGATAAAATCCCATAATTCTCATTGAAGACTCCATTACTAACCACCGTGAAAGTGAAAAAATAAAAATATAAAGTTTCAAAACCCTAATTTCCCCGTTCCGATCCCTCTCTCTCTCTCTCTCTCTCTCTCTCTCTCTCTATTATTCTTATCTGGAAGAGACAGATAAAACTTTTGGGCACTTCGTGACATTCAAGAGACATCGTCGCTGCGCTACCTCGTAGACGTTTATCCTACACCAAGATATTATTGTTACCTCTCCCTCTCCCTTCACTTTTTGTTGGCCAGGAGCTTAGGCCGAAATCTTTCGTAAGCATACTCTCTCTCTCTCTCTCTGTGTATATATGTATACATATATAGTAATATCGCAATGCAAATAAGCTGGAGCTCTTGTTAAGGAAATCATTTTACCGAAAAGCGGTGTTTAGGGCTAGAAACGGATGTTTCTTCTTTTTACGCAAAAAAAAAAAGGATAATTGTGTCGGTCAGTGTTGATGCATTATGCTGAATCATGTGTTGATGTTTATTTATTATACCTGAAAGAAATAGTGTCATCTAGCCGATCCCAAAAAAAAAAAAGTATAATTGTCATCTTATGATATAAATTTGTTGCTGAATTTTGATGTTGCAGTGTATTGGTGCAATTTAGAATGTTGTTGGGTAAATGATTGGGTGCTTAAGGTGGAGATAATGGCATTGGCAACCCATCATGTGCAGGTAATTGAAACACTGGCTATCTCTTTTTATTTCTTTTTTCCTTGTATATGGGATGAAGGGTCACCTTGTGTAAGCTAAAAACCTCGTTTTATTTCACAAGGGAGAAATAGAACTAAGGCAAAATAACCCCAAAAGTATGGCAGTTTCATAAAATCTTATCATTCTGTGGAGTATGTGGTTGCTCCTACGTGGTGTTGGCTCCAGTTTTGGATGGGTCTGTTGGCATTTTATTGATTTCTTATCTTTGCTCTACTAAAGTTATCATTAGATGCAATACCGACTAAAAGCTTCAATGATTTTTTACTTTATTCTATATCTGGCATAGAGTATATTTGTACTTACAGGAACGAATTTCCTGCTTTTTGATAATTTATATTGTTGAGCCCATCGAACAGTTCATATGAATCTTAACTAATTGTGGGATGTAAAACATGTTGGCATGTGCAAAAGATGCATCCATATATGCCATACAATGCTTGGTTAGAACATGTGCTTCATTGAACGTGTTGTCCCACTTGCTCTCGCTTTTGATACATATATATGGTGTCACTACTCACTTACGCCCATCTCGTAGTCTCAGTTTTCATCAATTTGGAGTAGCAAGTTTCTGATGTTCATTTATTTAATTTATATTGTATCCNGATAAAACTTTTGGGCACTTCGTGACATTCAAGAGACATCGTCGCTGCGCTACCTCGTAGACGTTTATCCTACACCAAGATATTATTGTTACCTCTCCCTCTCCCTTCACTTTTTGTTGGCCAGGAGCTTAGGCCGAAATCTTTCGTAAGCATACTCTCTCTCTCTCTCTCTGTGTATATATGTATACATATATAGTAATATCGCAATGCAAATAAGCTGGAGCTCTTGTTAAGGAAATCATTTTACCGAAAAGCGGTGTTTAGGGCTAGAAACGGATGTTTCTTCTTTTTACGCAAAAAAAAAAAGGATAATTGTGTCGGTCAGTGTTGATGCATTATGCTGAATCATGTGTTGATGTTTATTTATTATACCTGAAAGAAATAGTGTCATCTAGCCGATCCCAAAAAAAAAAAAGTATAATTGTCATCTTATGATATAAATTTGTTGCTGAATTTTGATGTTGCAGTGTATTGGTGCAATTTAGAATGTTGTTGGGTAAATGATTGGGTGCTTAAGGTGGAGATAATGGCATTGGCAACCCATCATGTGCAGGTAATTGAAACACTGGCTATCTCTTTTTATTTCTTTTTTCCTTGTATATGGGATGAAGGGTCACCTTGTGTAAGCTAAAAACCTCGTTTTATTTCACAAGGGAGAAATAGAACTAAGGCAAAATAACCCCAAAAGTATGGCAGTTTCATAAAATCTTATCATTCTGTGGAGTATGTGGTTGCTCCTACGTGGTGTTGGCTCCAGTTTTGGATGGGTCTGTTGGCATTTTATTGATTTCTTATCTTTGCTCTACTAAAGTTATCATTAGATGCAATACCGACTAAAAGCTTCAATGATTTTTTACTTTATTCTATATCTGGCATAGAGTATATTTGTACTTACAGGAACGAATTTCCTGCTTTTTGATAATTTATATTGTTGAGCCCATCGAACAGTTCATATGAATCTTAACTAATTGTGGGATGTAAAACATGTTGGCATGTGCAAAAGATGCATCCATATATGCCATACAATGCTTGGTTAGAACATGTGCTTCATTGAACGTGTTGTCCCACTTGCTCTCGCTTTTGATACATATATATGGTGTCACTACTCACTTACGCCCATCTCGTAGTCTCAGTTTTCATCAATTTGGAGTAGCAAGTTTCTGATGTTCATTTATTTAATTTATATTGTATCCCTGTCTAATGGCTTCAGGGTTCTTATCAAGCATTTACCTCGATGCCATCATGGAACAGTGGATTAAAGTTGAAATGCTATATAACAACACTTCACATGGTTGGAAATACAAATAGGATCAACTCGGTGAAGTGCAAATCTTGTTTAAGGTGAGAGGTTACCCCTCTTATTTTTTGTACCTAATTTTTATTTGCAATTAGCTTTTTCGTAATTGTTTCCAGATTGCTATGATTTAGGTTTTCATGGTCAGGTTACTTGGCTGACAATATGATTGAGAAAAACATTGTTGATTTTTTTAACAAATTTTTATCAAATTTGGTTGAATTTTATATATTCAGACAACTGCATTTTTTTTCTCTTTTAGTGTGAATTATCACTTTAGCTCAATTAACAAGGCTAATTTGTGGATGCAAAACTTCTCTCAGGTGCAGAAATTGTTGTTGATTCTTCGTCATAATCATTGTCTACTGAATTACTTTTTGTGATATATATGACCAAGAGGAAGATGCAGTATGCACATGCATTTGTACCATTAGTGATGAGAGGGAACCCCAATGATAAAAGCAAGTTGTACTCAAGCAACGAGGTTAAATGAGGAGAAATTTTAGGTCTCTTATCACTCTTATAAGAAGCTTAGAGTGCCTTTTGAACGCATCATCTCCAGGCAGAATGCAGCAAACAAGGAGTGTGCTTGAGGCAGGGAAATCAATTGAATTTGTTTACCAAAAAAATCTATATCTGAGAGGTTGCTTAAATTAGAGTAATCTCAATGTGGCCTGATAGATCAGTAATACAAACAAGCTTAGTCAATGTCTATTGCTTTTAGTTTGACAGTACAAAGGTCATTTCTTATTTGTTGGACATGATTATGAATATCAAGAAGCAAATAGTTGTGGAAGAGTAGAGGAATACGGGAGTTTCTTTTATAAGAAGTTCAGTATTATCCTCTCCTGTTTATTATGTTCACAGTGATGAATGAAAGTAGTGGTTGAGGTAGGGCAGTTCATGTAGATTTTGCAGTTGGATATTGCAGCCAAGGCTCGTCACCATGTGGTGTGGATGGAAATTGTTGTAGAAGACTGTTAGCGACAAAAGAAGGGGTAGGGAGAGGGGAGGGGGAAGAATGGATCGACCTTATTATACTCAATAATGCTTTTGTTTCATTTGTATGTCCCTTTTGACTTACCATGTAACATTGTTTTTCTTATATTTCGAATTAGTTGCTCAGGCCTTCTACAGTACGCCATGCGTTTCGGCGGATCATGTGTCCGATGATCCTTCCTTAGAACATACTAAGACGTCGTAGCCTAAAACATAGAGCAAATGTAACAGTGCATCACATTTGGAAATATCTAGATTTAGAGAGCCTATATTGGGCACATAGTTGTTTTTACTTTGAGAAAATTGCATATGTATTCATTCTTTTGATTTTCTTTACATTATACACATAACCCCCATTCAAAAGAAGCATCCCCAAAGGCATAAACCACCACAATAGCACCATTGAATAACAAATTATCTGCATTAAAAAAAAAATAAAAAATTATCCAAGTAATAAGAACCAACAAAAAGTCCTATGAAATAAAATAGTAAGGTCAATGTTGACATAATATTGCTCAACTCAAGAAAGCTTCATCCTAACTATCTGGGGCTAGCTGCATGAATCATATTTCACCAATGTACTCTATCCCACATGATGTCATATATTTTTTTACTATTTCATTAGATTTAATATTTGTCTCCTACGCCTTATATAACAGTCAATAGGTATCATCTCACTGTTCCTTAGTGGTGCAGCAATAAGCATTCTTTAATTATGTGCAGACCACCTAAGTCGATCTTCTCTTGATTTATCTTTGATAGGTGCTATCTCTATTTTTCCCATTCATATACTCATTCATAATTCAACGATTTCTGATTTTTACCCATCTATCTTAACATTTTCATTTCCATCACCCTTAGTTTGTGAGTTTTTTTTTTAATTGCCCTACATTTGTAACCATAACTTGTTTAATGGTTGTCTTGTAGAACTTTTCTTTTTGTTTAATAGGTATCCACCAACCAGGCAATACATCAGATGTATTCATATGTTTCGTCCATCATATTTAATTTCATGAGTAACATTGTCTCAAATCTCATCCTTCTATTGGTGATTGATACTAAATATTGAAACTCTGTGTTATCTCTTAATCTTCGACGTTTACGCTCCTTTATTTTAGTTTCTGCTTTTATAAAAGTTACATTCCCTAGAGTTTATTTGCACAAGCGATAACCTTATATTATTCCATCATGTCTTCCTCAACTTCTGAGCTGATATCATTTCTTTGTATCACTAATTGTCTCTGGTATAAAAAGTGTGCAATAGCATTTTACAAATGATATGGCTTGCAAGAAAGGTATTACATCAATGTGTCTTATTTCAAATATTTTCCAGTTATCTTTGTTACTCCGCCACTTCATGAAGGGTAGTTTTGTACCTTTGTATGGTGTGGAAAACTAAATGGAACTCTTCTATCCGTGGATATTCTTCCTTTTGTATTCTCATCCTATTGGAATTTTTTATGTTCCAGTTATTCTTTGTTGAAAGATTCTTTATTGGCTTCTGCTGGCTATTAATGACTTTTTCTCAATGTGCTTTTGTATATTGTAAAATAAGCAAAATCGGATAACTTGTTTTCACAGAGTAGGAGCTCCTTTTGTCCTAGGACCAAGGGGGAAATCATTGAAAATTTCAGCCTTCAAAGGTATTGGCCAAAATGACGAATCAGGAGCCCAGGCAAGTGGATCAAAGTTGCAAAATAATTCTGTCAAATTTTCTTATGTGCCACAGGAAAGTGAAACCTCAACCAATTCTCCAAAGGTGAAGAATGTTCCAGTTTCCTACACATCTGAAGCACATGAAACCATAGCAGGATCTCCAGCTATACAAGAACTTTTTAAGAATTGGTTGTCTTTGTTGAGAACACCATCACCAAATCAAGTGGTGGATGAAATTATAGAAGAACCATCCAAAAGGGCAATATCAGAAACACAAAATGGGATACAAAACAAAGAAAGTGGTGGAATTCTGAAGGCAGTTTGGAGTAATTTCCTGGGGCTGGATGCGACGATAAAAATACCTTTGCTGATATTGTAAGTTTGTGGTCTAACTCTCTCTCTATCTATCTATAAATATAGGTATTTCTTTAGTTAAAGTTGAAGGTATTCTTATTTAAGTGCTTTTGACTAGAACACATGTTTTATTTTGATTGGGTCAAGCTTCCTGAAACAGAATGGTTCTTAACTCTGTTATACCTCTGGAAGTTTTCCTTTTTGTTCCATGGAGATCATCTGAAATTTTGGGTTGAGATTGTTGTTAACGTTTTTGAATTTATACTGTTCTTTTAGTACTGAGAGTGCATTTCAATCGAGCTCACATTTATTTACTTGAAAACAGATTTTAATTCAAAAGGATGCCATTATTTCTACTCTCTACTCCTTTGAATTCAATCAAATTGACAACTTGGATTACTACAATTTGTATGAGGAAAATAAGTCAAAGGAATATTTGTTGAGTGAGATGGTCATCCCAACTTATAGTACTACTGATATCAGCTATCAGGTTTAAGGCATGAATATTATGGTGGTATTTACAATTTTTTTTTTTGTGGAATATCAACATGGCAACACTGGAAGTTCACTGTCCCTGTTTTGTTGATTTGCAGCATTCCCTGGTACCTGTCAGTTAATGCAATTTATGGGGCTGATGTTTCTAAAGAGTTGACCCCTTTATGGATTTTTGGGCCTTTGATTGTGGCTCTCTACATCAAGATGTTCCGGGGCTTATTCGCACTTTATGTTTTCAGCTTCAAGCAGACAGTTAAAGTAGTCAAGAATGTACCCAACTACTATTTAGTTGCTTACAATTACATTTCTCATGGGAAGCTCAAAGACGACATACGAGCGCATTTATGGCAGCATATTGTGGACATTAAGAACTTAGACTACAAAGAGCTACCAAAAAGAAAGATGAAAGAGTTGGAAGGCTGGTTGGTGGAGAAGTACCTGGACTTTGTGGAATCAATCTGGCCCTATTATTGTAGAGCAATTCGGTTTTTAAAGAGGGCAAATCTTATATAGGGCTGAGGATTGTATTTTATGAAGGGTGCTGAGAACAGAGGACATTGAACTTTGAGTGATTTTCATTTTTGCTTTTGGGTGAAAATTTTCTGGTGGGGCATAGGCTGAGACAGCTGTGAAACCCCGTTTTGGACCGAGGTTCTTCTCATTTGCCTGAGCAAGTGATTGTTAGAAGCAAAGCGCATTGAACGATTTTGTAATTTTCAAAGGCATCATATTCGTATTGATTAATGGGTTCTAGATTGGTTTTAGCATTTACTCTCTTTAGTGGCTTCTCTAATGGGATGTATTACAAAGTAATAGAATGTATTCTCTGTCTCTCTGTCTCTCTCCCCCCCCCCCCCCCCCNAATTTATACTGTTCTTTTAGTACTGAGAGTGCATTTCAATCGAGCTCACATTTATTTACTTGAAAACAGATTTTAATTCAAAAGGATGCCATTATTTCTACTCTCTACTCCTTTGAATTCAATCAAATTGACAACTTGGATTACTACAATTTGTATGAGGAAAATAAGTCAAAGGAATATTTGTTGAGTGAGATGGTCATCCCAACTTATAGTACTACTGATATCAGCTATCAGGTTTAAGGCATGAATATTATGGTGGTATTTACAATTTTTTTTTTTGTGGAATATCAACATGGCAACACTGGAAGTTCACTGTCCCTGTTTTGTTGATTTGCAGCATTCCCTGGTACCTGTCAGTTAATGCAATTTATGGGGCTGATGTTTCTAAAGAGTTGACCCCTTTATGGATTTTTGGGCCTTTGATTGTGGCTCTCTACATCAAGATGTTCCGGGGCTTATTCGCACTTTATGTTTTCAGCTTCAAGCAGACAGTTAAAGTAGTCAAGAATGTACCCAACTACTATTTAGTTGCTTACAATTACATTTCTCATGGGAAGCTCAAAGACGACATACGAGCGCATTTATGGCAGCATATTGTGGACATTAAGAACTTAGACTACAAAGAGCTACCAAAAAGAAAGATGAAAGAGTTGGAAGGCTGGTTGGTGGAGAAGTACCTGGACTTTGTGGAATCAATCTGGCCCTATTATTGTAGAGCAATTCGGTTTTTAAAGAGGGCAAATCTTATATAGGGCTGAGGATTGTATTTTATGAAGGGTGCTGAGAACAGAGGACATTGAACTTTGAGTGATTTTCATTTTTGCTTTTGGGTGAAAATTTTCTGGTGGGGCATAGGCTGAGACAGCTGTGAAACCCCGTTTTGGACCGAGGTTCTTCTCATTTGCCTGAGCAAGTGATTGTTAGAAGCAAAGCGCATTGAACGATTTTGTAATTTTCAAAGGCATCATATTCGTATTGATTAATGGGTTCTAGATTGGTTTTAGCATTTACTCTCTTTAGTGGCTTCTCTAATGGGATGTATTACAAAGTAATAGAATGTATTCTCTGTCTCTCTGTCTCTCCCCCCCCCCCCCCTCCCCAAAAAAAACACACACACACACACACCCCTCACTTTTCCCTCTTTCATGCTGTCATATATGTAGGTTGGGATCCATAATTTGTTAGTCATTTAGTTATTGCTGCATCTGGTTCTGTTTTCTGCATTCTTGATCCAAGATTTGAAAATGCAAAGATGGTTGTGTACTGCACTTCTAAGGCTTTGTCAAAAGGCCTCTGGAGAGGAGCTGAGATGACTTCACACAACCTTGCAATAAATAGCTCTTTGGATACAATTTTGAATGTCCTTCAGTTCCTTGGGGTGATTTGCATCTGTTCCCTCTCAAGCTACATCGTGAAATTATCCCTCCTGTCAACATGATGGAATAGTTAAATGAGATTTTCAGATCAACGTTGGTCAAGCAATCATCTCATTCTGAGAACACTACAGAACATTAATATTGGATAACACAGTAAATTTGGTGGGTGCTGGTATTTATAGATGGTTTAATTTGCTCCGCTCAGATAATTTTGTAGTTGGCTTGGTTTTCTCCATTAGTAATCTGTAACTAGATGCATATAAAAGCATCAGGCGATTTTTTAGGCATAGCTGATGGTTCTTTTCGTGAATGAAGATCCACACAGTATAAAGGCCAGCATTAGTGAAGGTTTTGCACTGCATGTTCTGTAAGTTTGTGTTTATGGGCCTAATTTTTGGTTTTGTAACCAGATACATTTGCTTGTGTATGTTTTTTTTTTCTTTTCTTTTTTGCTGCTTTACATTATTGTCAGGAGGAATGTTCTTTAAAACGGGGTTGGATGAACACAAGGAGAATCTGCTGAAAATCCAGCATTCTTGCTGCTTAAATTGCATAGTTTTCTTGTCACCTTCTGTTTAGCCATGCAGGGAATTTTTATTCTTGTACGCCACTTTCTCTAATTGATAAATGTTTTAATGACAATAATTTTCCAGTCTTAGTATTGTTTGGGAACCCTTCTTTTTTTTGATAGAAAGATGTCATCTTCATGTAGTGCTTGGTTGCTTCCACAGGACGGAGTACTGAAATCTAACAGGTGGATGGCAGGCAGTGAAGGGTCTTAAGTGAATCATATCTCTACGGTATATATCATTGCTCTCCTTGAAATTGTTCCTGATATTATTCCCTCGTCCATTATGATAAATACTCCCTCTGGTTTCATTCTAAGTATATGTTTAGTAAATAAACAACTTATTAATTGGAATCATGAAGCAAAGAGATCATCATGTTGACCAAATGAAAAGAGGCTCCACCATACCTCCTTCTATAGTATTTGAGCTGTCAAAGGCACAAAGTAGCATCTGATGAGAGTTGGCTACCACAACTGCAAGATGTAAAACAGAGCTAACAAAACATAGTCACCTTCTTCTGAACCCATCCATAGTAAAGTATGACTATTTAAAGGTTGACTAATGAAATGGTTAGTGATACTTTAATGTACTTTGACTGAACCTTTCTGTTGAGATTTAAAATGACAGGATGCTTTGTAATTTGGAAGTGTTGGGCTTTAGTCTTACATCTGTTTCTCTCTTTGCTATTTATGTTTTTTTCTTTCTCATTCAATAGATGAAGTTGTTGGATAAGGAAAAAGCTGTTGTTGGGGAGCGATTGCCTCTACCATCGATGACAGATCCCCAGGGGACGGGGTGGTTGCCCGGGCAATCATACCCTTAAAAGCTATATAGGCTTGTTAGAAGACAGTTCTCGTACTAAATTTCTTGATCCATCCTTGTCCACTTCTAATGCATATAGGACTTGGAATAATATTCCTAAGCATAAGTTTTATGGAGATTAACTAATTTTATACTACAAAAAGAAAGAAATTCTGTCTGTAGTCCTTCCCTATAATAATTGTTAGTCATTCCATCAGTACAGAACTTTTATGATTACATTTTTGAAATCCCCAATTATAATACCCTCTGATTTGGACTTACTATCTGTCATTTGATTCCCTTTGTTTCTTTATGGTAATTTGTTAATGTCAACCTTCCTCTCATTTCATTGTATATCCTAGAGTTGGTGCTATTCTGGTGATTTTCAGTTTGTTTTACATCAACTGAAAGAGTACACAAAATGCTTAGATTAGGTAGAAGACAAATAATTCCCCAGAGAATGACCAAAATGTCTTAAAGAGGTTGGATAACAATCTGTTTTATAGAAAATGGTAGTATCATTGTCTGCTAGGTGAACTTTCATCTACAATAATTAGAATGCGAAAAAGAAATGTGGTTCAAATGAGTTAACAAGAGCAGATGAACATGTCTTCATGTCTTAATCATGCATATTTTCATTCATGGAGGTCTTTGTCACATACTGCATGTGGAGAGAGAGAAAGAGAGAGAGCGCACAGAGTGATCAAGTTGTAGGGTAATAGTGGTCCAGCAAGGTACATACTTTGCTTCTTTGTCTGGGAATTTTGATGGGACAACTGTATTGTAATTTTCATCCATATTGGTTGCGTCTGCTTAAATCCGGGAAAATTAAGCAAAGATGAAAGATAAAAAGCTAGCACTTGAAAGCTAAGTATATACATGTTCTCTACCTATAGTATGAATTGATTTCCTTTGTCTTCTTGTGTTTGGATTCTTTATTAGCAGGAATCCTCCTATATTCATTGAGCCAGTAGTCTCTCTCTGTCTCTCTGACCCCGTGTGTGTGTGTGTGTGAGTAAAAACATCAATAGGCCCAGTTAGGCAATTGAAACAACTTTGGTTGGATAACACCAAACCTCACATGGTCTTGTTCAATCCTGAGTTTCAGTTTGATAAAGGAAGGTGGTCTCCACAGTGAAACAAAGAAATGTGGTAGTTTTGCTCCTGTTTTCGTCTTGTATTTAATATGGTATTAGGTGGGATTTGGCTCAAAAAGAGCAGATTTCTTTCATGTGTGAACTCTCTTAACACTTTACCCCAAGTAGCTCGAGTGGTAAAAAAAAATAAATTTAAACTCTATCGTCTTGAATTCATTCAAATCTTGACAATTTTTAAGGGTTAGGTCAAGAAAAATATATCCCTCATGAATACCCTAGTTTGGTATAGATGGTCTGCTTTTAATTGGATTAGGGAGAGAATTAATCGAAGTGTGTATAAGTTAGTTCGGATACTCTTAACCATTGAACATTTTTTATGCTTACACACCTCCAACCCACTCACCCCCCCCCCCCCCCAAAACCCC